ACAGAGGAATTTAGTAACAAAAAAGGAGAGAGCTGAGCTGCTTAAAGGCTTCTTTTCTTCTTGTTCATGTCAAAGTTTATGCTGTTGATGTTTCAGAGAGGGCAGCAATCCTCAGACCTAAATAGGACCTTTTCTACCTCCCTCTTTCTATTGTTAGACTGCTCCAGAGTGGCTTTGTGTGAGTCACAGTTCAAAATAATCCTGGTTTATCATTGTTGTTACTGCCCATGTTCCAATCACATAGAACTGAGAGTAGAAAAAAACAGAAACGGAGCATTTAGAACCTCCTAAGCTTTGGGCTCACTGCCCTTATTTGTATGTATACTGCTTTCAATGTTCAAAACAGGGCATCGACGTAACAAGAAGCACAATATAGCTCTTATACCCTAAGATTGCTGAACCTCTACAAGCAGGCTATCAGGGGCACTCAAAAATCCTCAGACTAGCTACTTTTCTCTCCTCCGAAATGGCACTAAAGGAGGCCATGCAGAGGTGCTTCCTGCAGTGGAACACAAGTTACTGAGAAACAGTTTTTCTTAAAGTGGCTTCAAGCAGCAGAACAAAAGACATCAGTTGGCTTTGACAATAACATCGTAACTAAAAGCACAGCAGATAATTGATTTGATTCTTGACTTTAAAGAAATACAAAGTCTATGAGAAATGTGTAATTACATTCATTCTGAATAGTGCGTCTCGACTGAGCACAATTTGGTCATTTTTGGGGGAACCTTTAGTGTTTAATAGGACATGCTGTGAAAAATACTAAACATGTTTAGAGATACGACAGGGGGTTGCTTGGCTTCGTATCTACGTGTCTTCACAGAAAGTGTTGATCTGCACAAGTTCTTTTTTGAAGCTCTGCCCTCTGTCGCATCTCTTCAGGAGATAATTAATTAGTTCCACCTGTGAAGTCACTTCTCTCCATCCCTTGTTTTGTCTCCATTTGCTCCTCCGTTCCTCCCTGTCTCTGCGCTCGCTGCGAGCGGGGGCGTTTGGAGCACTAATTTGTTTTTGTTTTGCCGCGCTAACCTTGGAGGGGTGACATGACGTTATTAGCTTCTCCTGCTCTTCTTCTGCCACACATTAGATTCAGGTAGACATGGAAGGCACTTTTCATTTGAATTTAATTCTCCCCCTTCAGCTCTCCTTCCTCCCCACTCCCATCCTCCCACATCCTCCCTTCCCCTTAACCGTGCCACCCTCACACTTCTAATTAGATTTTGGGGGAAAATGAACTCTGATTAAAAACGCAGTCCTCTCCAACCTGACACACCATAGGCGCACGCCCACGCTCTGTGTGCGACACACAAACACCTGACACATACGCAGATCTCGCTGAAAGGCCTGTGGCAAGCTGAAAGCTTGTTTGGAAGATGTTGGAAGTCGGGATGTATCTGAGGAGCAGACAGTGGCTGCCGTTCAAACCTCCACGTCCTCCTCCTCCCGGCTTTCTTCATCAACTTCTCCATTAGCACAGATCCGATCAAACTGTCAATCAGCCCGGCCGCACGGCTGCTTCGATCTGGACTCATGATTTCTCCCTCTGTCCCACCATGCATTATTAACACAGATTTTCTCATATCCTAAGAGGAAATTAAAATCTGTGTGGGTCCGTGTGTGTGTATGACTGTGTGTGTGTTGTGGCTGATAAGTATCTGTTGAGCCTGCAGTTCTTGGGTGGACAATTTGACAGCAGTCTCGGGGTGGCTGGTTATGGCTAGAGGATGGGATCAAAAGTCACCGAGGTTGTAATCTTTTTTTCCATTTAGAGCTTGTTAGAGGAAGATTTTTAGCTGTGGCTGGAGGTTTGAGGTCAGCTTCATCATCACAATCAGGCTCTTGATTCACATGCACGAATCATAGTTCCACATATTATAGAGTAGAGCTTTCATGCACAAGTTCACTCCTACTTCCAAGGTGCATGGGGAAGCTCTTGATCCTCAAGAAGTAAAATCTTAAAAATGCCACAAGCTGAAATGTGTCATTCAAACAATAAGTAGACAATTAGTCCATCCATCCGTCCTTTTAACAGCATATCCATTTTAGGTACCATTCCCAGCCTCGCCAGGGTTTCCCAAATTAATGAGATCTTGTCATAAAGAAAGATTAGATTCAGTCAAACTGGAAGACACAGGAAAGGGAAAATGACGAGACACAAAATGGAAAAATGAGAATACTTTTATTAGAGTTGCTAATTCCTTTTAATATTTTTGTCCACTTAGGATTTAGTAGAATTAGTACCTCAGATTTTATTGCTTCGCTTATGTTAGAAAATCCATCTTTTGTCCATGTAGTTGTTACTATCCATTCCCTTAGAGGTGGAGTCACAACACTGAGACACCTACAAAAAAAAAGAAGAAAACTTTAAAGCGTTCAGTCAGAAATCTGTCTTCTCACCATGAAGGGGGCTTGAAACTGTTTACCTTGGGCTGCCTGAAGCAGCACAGAGATGCAAATCTGCTTGTTTACTGTTTTCTATCGTTCTATTGGAGCACAGATTACAAACAGCTGGGACGTTTCGGTCAACAAAAGCGAGAACTCCACAAAACAACAAAACCTTATTATTTTTTATTATATATTTCAGATGCTGTTGGTTATTAGTTTGCTTATTTTAGCAGTTATGTGTCTTGCAGACTGTTTCGTGTGGTAGATTCTCTAAATCACATGAAACATACAGCAGGTCTCCGAGGGTGTTTATTGGCTTCACAAGAACTGCAAGGCCTATTAATTCTTAATAATTATAAAGTGAACATAAAAAAAACACACATGGAAATATTAACGTAGGAAGCTGTTGACATTTTGTCAAAATTGTCTTGCAGATTAAGTAAAAATAGAGCTTTAATAATAACCTGCTTATTTAAAAGATATGGGCCCGTTCTCTTTTTAACCGCTCTCTCACTGACTTCAGTAACAGCAAATCAGTCCAGAGAAAATAACAGACCAAGCACACCTTGGTATATTCAGTACTAACAACATGATTTATTAACTCTGATGCACAAATTCAAGTGAAGTTTTGGTTGTAATGATTAATTCTGGAGCAAAACGAGTGAATAAAATATCGAAGATAAACGTCAGCTGCTTTATTCTGCAGCCAGCACAACTTGGAAAGTTCTCAAGGAAACAAACTCCTGCCTCACTGCTGATTCCCTGTAGTGCCTAAGCTTATTTCGGTGCTCAGAGTGCCAAGTGCCACAAGTGGAAAAATATTTAAACTTTTAGCATCACATGTGCCTCAGGCTTCAGATGGATGTTAGATGCCATATAGTTGTGCACACCTGGATCCCACATTGAGTGATGATTACCCAGGCAGAGGTGCCAATTTGATTCAGGTCCTTGCAGGTTATATTAAACATGAGCTGACAAACAGCTGTGTGTGTGTGTGCAAAGCTCTAGAAATAGATGCTACAAGGATAAATCTCCAGACTGGAGTAAAAATGTCTCGTGTTAATAGCAGCTGTCTTATGAATTGTTTGCCCTTCTTTTAATAAACTTCTGGTATCCTGCTTCTCATTGTTTAAACCCTAAGTTTTATTTATTCATAAATATTATTCATCAGTCTTTTTGTCAAACAATATTAAATAATAATTCCATTTACATGGTTCTTTTGCCAAGTGCTTTGACTAGCAAAGCCGAATCCAGAATTTCAGCAGAAAGCTGGAAATTAGAGCTTCCTGTTTAAAAGCAGTTAAAGAAAAAGACTTTAAATGGTAATAAATAACATTAATGAAGCAAATCTAACAGAAAACTGTTGGAAGGACATAAAAAGACATCACATAATAGTGAGTTTGTAAAAATGTGTTTTTAGAAGTGATTTGAAGGAGGTCGCAGATTATCTCCTCAGGGAGGTCGTTTCAAAGCCCACAACTTATTCGCTTTAGTGATTTTTGAGTTTCTCGAGCAAAAAGACTTGATTAATCTTGCTTTGGTAGGTTAAAAATCGGTTAAAACTTAACCTATTTAAAAACAAAACCTGAGGAGTTAAATACCTACAAACCGGTGCTGTTTAATTTAGCCGCACAATCACCGTTCTTCAGAGCTGCCTGATTCCATCGGCATCACTCTTCTTGTCGTGTTAATACGACTGACCTTTAACCCCTGCTAGTTATGAACCCATTGCTCTTGGCGTTGATTAGAATAACCTCTTTTTGTCTGTCCCGTCACCGCGTCCTCTGTGGCATCCCTCGCTCTTAAACAAGCGCTCCCAATTAGCACAGCGCTTAACGAGGTCGTTAGCAACCTGGTGTCCTCAACTCGACCAGCGTTCTGTGTTTAGGGAAAGGCGTCTATAGCTAAATGGCACATTTACACTCACAACTTGGACTCTTTTTCCATCTATCTCACTTACACACTCTCTCTCTCACACACACACATACATTCAGTCACTCAGTCATTTCCATATTAATATAATGGGAGTATGTAGGGGTCATTAAAACATCAGCGAGTTGTAAAATCCAAATAGTAAAACACACAGAGCTGAATAGCACCAATGATAACTTGAGAGGGAGAGAGAAAGAGAGGAGGCTGTTTTATGATCATATTTGTGGCATGATGTGTTTTATGAAGTCAGCTCCCACATTATCTCCCCTATCATCTCTCTATCGCCATAATTCGATGTGAGAAGGTTATGGTAATGAGTTCTTATGGAATTGGGGGAAGGGGTTGAGCTGTGGGTCACACTCTACTGCTCATTGCTCTTGCATATAGTACGTATGGTTCTCCTTATTCTTCTATTATAACTGCATGGGGGAAAATGAAGACAATATTATCCAGTCGTATATTATCGTTTGCATTACCAGTTAAGGAAAACTGTATTTTTTCCTGCTTACAGTGATGTTCACAGTAGCTCTTTGTCTGTTTATTTTGTGCAGTGCATTTTCACTTCCTCAATAAGTGGGTTGTTTATGTTTTGGTTTTCAAACGCTGCAGCAGTATATCAGCGCACACTCACGAGTGATTATATTCCTAAATATCGTTGTGTGTCTGCATGTGCTCGTCCTCAGCTTGTGATGAGTGGACTGTCCTTCCCAGACCAGGCCTGCACCGGGACATCAACCGCTTTGGACACTCTGCTGTGGTTAGCAACGGGTGAGTTTCTGCTTTTCATAACACGCCCCCCTAACTGATCCAATCCCAGACTCTATCTGGCTGATTCTTGTTTCCACCCTATATACAATAGTCAGTGTTGGGAAGGTTACTTTTAAAATGTATTCCATTACAGAATACAGAATACATGCCCCAAAATGTATTCTGTAACGTATTCCGTTACGTTACTCAATG